CAGTGGATGTCAATCTCAAACAACACTTTGCATTTTCAATCCCAACTCCCAACATACAATTCTCACAGCCACTAGGCGTACCGAGTTAATGTGTCCAAGTTTACTGCACGTTGCTGTACCCGCAACTAGGTGTTTGCACGTATTCACTTGGCCATTATCTGGTCATTCGGGGGTTTATTAAGTGCACTGTACACTAGGGGTTGTGGTAACACTGAAAGAGTCTGCACACAAAGTTGACTCCAAGATTTATACACCCGGTCACAGTTGGGCTCGATCCGGGCTAGAATATTGATCTTCAGTAACTCATGCTTGTCGTAAGAGGCGACTTACGGGATCGGGTGGTCAGGCTCGCTGACTTGGTTGTCACATGTCATCGCTGTTCCCAATTGCGCAGATCGATGCTCATGCTGTTGATCACTGGATTATCTGGTTCAGATTCTATTATTTTCAGACTGCCGCCATATAGCTGGAATATTGCTGAGTGCAGCGTAAAACTAAACTCGCTCACTCATATTATGTGTAAGTTCATGACATCTATCACATTCTGTCTGTTCACATTCAGTTATTTGAAACCAATTTAATAAAACTTGAATATTGTTTGTTTGTTTTTAACAAGCCAAGAAAGCACACGGTGTGTGTGTGTGTGTGTGTGTGTGTGTGTGTGTGTTTGTGGTCGAGTGGTTACCGCGTTCACTCGTCACGCCTTAGACCCGGGTTCCATTCCCACGTGGGTGCAATGTTACAAGCCATTTCCTCTGTCCCCCGCAGATATTGCGGAATATTGCTAAAAGCGGTGGAAAAAAACTAAATTCACTCACTCACAAAGCACACTAACATGAACAAGTTTGAATATTGCTGTGCGTGACGTCAGCAACAAGGAAAGTAAACTTTGAGACCTACTGAAACAAACGCCCCTTGATGCTTTCACCGCCTGGTCCAGGAATCACGCTGTATCGATCCAATATGAAGAAGGATTTAATACTCCTATCAACAGAATCTCATGATTATTGCAGCGCGCTGAAATGGATTAATTTCACACTTAACCGACGCGAAATTATCGCATAGAATATAGATGACAACCAAACAACAGTTTAATATCGTATTGCAGACTGAGTGATTTAACACGGGTATGTACAATACGGCTAAATTGTCGGGAGAGTTTGGTCTGGAAGGAGCCATTTTGAGGAGTCCACGTGCAATTGCAGAGTTTATTGCTCATCAACAAATTTAGCAGAACTTGGTGGTCACATTACGCAAATTTCCATTCCCAGGGGAATTGAAACGTACATTTAAACTGAAAATACCAATTTAGAGTGAGTGAGTGTGGCTTTGCGCCAAGTTTAGCTTTAGTAAAGTTAGTGAGTTAAAATTTAACGTCACCTCGGCAATATTTCAGCCATATAGTGACGAGAAGCTTTAGTAGAGTCGAGACGGAACATCAAAATTTGGTTTAACACATTGTATCTATCCATAAAGGGAATCGAACCTGAGACTTCGCGTGAAGAGCGTTTTGCTTTCGTGGCCAGGTTACCTCACCGGCGAAAAAATGTTTTGAAACATTTCTACACCACGTCTGTATGTAAATGAACGCCATGAATGCATAATTTGTTGGTGACCCGGGAAGATCCGGGTTGAAGTTGACCCATGCTTGTCATAGGAGGCGATCAACGGGATCGTGTGGTCAGGCTCGCTGACTTGGTTGACACATGTCATCGTATCTCTGGACCAGACAATCAAGTGATCAACAGCATGAACATCAATCTACGCAATTGAGATACGATGACATGTGTCAACCAAGTCAGCGAGCCTGACCACCCGATCCCGTTGGACGCCTCTTACGACAAGCATGGGTTACTGAAGACCAATTCTAACCCGGATCTTCACGGGTCTCATGAGCTTGAATCTCAGCAGTTAATATGGCAAGGAAGCTGTCACTGGCTCTGGGCTTGTTATTCATGTTTAAATGCAGGTCAGTGGAGTAGAGTAGCCTAGTGATTAATGCGTTCGCTTGTCACGCCGAAGACCTGGGTTCGATTCCCACATGGGTAAATGTGTGAAGACCATTTCTGGTGTCCGCCGCCGTGATATTGCTGGAATATTGCTAAAAGCGGCGTAAAACCATACTCACTCATCCGTATCGATAAACTATTAATGAGAGTGATACGCTTTTAATAAAGGATATAGGTCAGAATAGGTCAATGATATATTTTTCGCATATTTTCACAATATATGGATCTCTACAATGAATAGTTAAATACACAGAGTCGGACTCTGTTACCATCAAGAATGTCTTTGTATTGTTGTCAGTAGCGCGGTTTCTTATGATCAAAAGGGGAGGTGGGGTAGCATAGTGGTTAAAGTGTTCGCTCGTCACGCCGAAGACCCGGGTTCGATTCCCCGCATGGGTACGATGTGTGAAGCCCATTTTTGGTGTCCCCCCCGTGATGTTGCAGGAATATTGCTAAAACCCAATTCACTTAAATTTTGTAAAATTGTTAGCAGTAGTAGTAGTAGTTGAATAGCAGCAGCAGCAGCAGCAGTAGTAGTAGTAGTAGTAGTAGTAGTAGTAGTAGTAGTAGTAGTAGTAGTAGCACAGTAGTCCACTCTGACAATACTCACACTACTGTGAATACAAACATCCCCGCACAATTATTAGTGTTGTCGTTTTATTATTATTATGGTTAATACATAGAGATTACTAAACGAGTGTCACGAGTACAGTAATCTGTTTCTTACACACCATAAAATCGCACCATTTTATGCTCGAATAGATTCAAATTTCTTACCTTCTCATCGTAGCTGCGCAATAATACACAACACAACGTTTATGAATGAGTGACGTCACTTGCTTTCCTAAACACTACTCATCCCCATGGTGACCCTCCACTAAAAAGTTTCTGCCACCTCTTCGCAACATCAAGGCAATAGTGATAATGATAACTAGATAAGATCACAGAAAATTAATTCAACCCTCCAAAACGATGATGTTACCATGCAAATCCTTAAGCTCACTGGATCACTAGCCTGGCGCATTAGACAGCTCGCCCACCACGCCCCACACATATTATGAGTGAGTTGATGCACACATCGTATCAAAAATCGCATCCAGTGAGTGACTCAACAGATCATGCCTGTGAATGATTCAAAATCGTACCTAGTGACTCCAGAGATCGTATCTATGTGGGCTTCGACAATCTCCCATCCACATGATCTGCATCCATTTGCGGAACCAAACCCACCAGACCGGCGATCCAGGGCCAAGATTTTCGAAGCTCTCTCAGCGCTAAGATAGTCGTAAATGCCATACATTAATATTAACTTACGACTAACTTAGCGCTTAGAGAGCTTCGAAAATCTAGGCACAGTACCTTAACCAGCAGGCCATCTGGGTTTCCTGAACATCGGTTTAATATGTTTATTGAAACCGGGGCGGTGGAGTAGTCTCGTCACGCGAAAGACCCGGGTTCGATTCCCCACATGGGTACAATGTGTGAAGCCCATTTCTGGTGTCCCCGCCGTGATGTTGCTGGAATATTGCTAAAAGCGTCGTAAACCTAAACTCACTCACTCACTCATTCATTGACTGAAACCCGTACTTTCAGGATATATGATTTCAGACTATCATTCCATGTTTTCCTGTTTACATCATACGTCTCGGCATGCGTGCCCCAATTTCAAGACATAATTTGACACAAAGCTTCAACAAAATCTATAAATCGTGTGATTCCTGTTCTTGCCCATAACTTGATTGTCAGGTTTGTGAGTGAGTGAGTTTAGCTTTACGACGCTTTTAGCAATATTCCAGCAACATCACGGCGGGGAACACCAGAAATGGGCTTCACACATTGTACCCATGTGGGGAATCGAACCCGAGTCTTCGGCGTCACGAACAAACGCTGTAACCACTAGGCTGCCTCACCGCGCCGTCTGGTTTGCGTGCATTCTATGATGCAATCGATAGGGCATTGATCTATGCATGCAAATTTCTCCAAAATCTTAACCTCTTACACCATATAACATCTGTTTCGATTAGACGAGACTGGACATTCTCTGATGATTACGCCCTGTTTATCAATAATAATAGTAAAGATTGAAGCCCGTTGTCTTTTAACCTGATTATTATCATTGTTGAAAAAAATTCAACTCTATGGTATTATGATGTTTATAAAAGTAGGACACATATGTTTAGATCAGGTTTCCAGGGACATCTCATTGTTGGCAGTTCTGTTGTTACTAGTCTTTTATATGATTTCTTTTGTATGGATGTTTGTACATGCACGTTTGATTTAACACAGGGCGCATACAACATTTACCTACGGTATTTTTATAACAACGAACAAATCCCTTTCTTATTGTACTGAGCGGGAACAACGTTTTAAGAAGCTTACCAGAAAAAAATCAATAAATGCTTTTGTTAATGCTGACAATGTCTACATTATCCTACAAGGGGAAGTGCAATTGTTGCCAGCTGAACAAGATCAACACATATTTTCTCACTTCGACAGTGGGGCTGTTTAACAAATTGGATGCGGACTTACAAAGAAATTCGGTATCGGGGAACACTATTCTACAGAGGCTTTTTCACTTTAATCAATTTATTACCTACTTTTGTTTCCATGGCAATCAAGAAATATAGAGCTTACGTACAGAGTTAATTACGGTAATAGTTCTTTTTTCTGACAAGAAAGATTGGGAAATCTTTGGGACATTTTTGATTCTTTGATGGTCGGCTGTAATGAATGGACCTGTGAATCTAAAGGCCACCAGGAACGTTTCCATGACGAAAACATTGTAATAAAAACATGAAAAGAAATCCCGACTGCAAATGCAATAACGGTTGTCTCATCTTGCTGGGGCGTTTCAGCTGTCCAGGTAATCATTTAATGGCAAAATGACACTTCAACTTTGGTCTTTGAGCTTTGAGGGAAGCGACAGGGTCATGTGATGTCACGTGATCATACCAATATCGATTGGTTACCTCTGTCAGTGTAGTGTATACTTGATTAGAACGTAGCTGGGAATCTAGCGGAGTAGTAACAGTGATTAGCTGGTGGACTCGCGCGGACGTCAGAGAGGAAGGCAACGGACAAAGCGAGGAGACTACTTTGTACGCGAACGTCAGAGAAGACAGCCGGAGACTTCAGTCCTAACTTCGAAGTGCTTCACTTTTCTGTGTCACGTTTGGGATTCTGTTTCGCTTGAAATTTTAGCCATGGCAAGTTTGGAGCTTTCGGACTTTCAGAAGAGGAAAATAATGAGTGTCTTCAACACCCTGTATGGTAAGTTTCATTACTGAACAAATTTTCCTTAGAAAGTATACAACCGTTTTAAAAGATTGTCCATATAGTAAACATATGATTAATAGCCCATTAAAGAGCGATTGTTTTTTTCGCACATTGGAAAGACACTTTTCAATTTGCTTGAATAGCATCTTGTACGGGCTTTCAACCGATTCTACCTTTTCTTTCAGCGTTTGACAATGCAAGGTCAGGAGGAACTATTAACATGACTTTAAGCTTTAAGACATATATCCAAACATCACTTGAAAGTATACGGTTTTGTATAACTCCTTAATTTGTATTTGTTTTTTGTTCATCCTTAGCATTCTAATTTCTTCTTGTTAAAAGAAACAAAAGTGTTGAGACTAGTTTATTCGAATGGCGGTTGTAGTTGATGCTATAAAGTTTCATCGGATGCATCTGAATATTCATTTGAATATAATTACGCATGAACCTATCAGCGACCAGCAGAACTACCCGGATGTCGATTGTGTATTCTGTGTGATATTTTCCGTCTTGTTCTCTACCCAGTAAGGATGCCGTGTAATAAGTTTTGCCACGATTGCTTGCTTGGTCTGTTTTGATTCGATTTGTTGTGATGAGGCTTTAAAAAAGCCTTTCGCAAGCAGCATTTAATAATTTTTGCAAATCTGCATTTTCTTGACGAAGCTGTTGATCTTCACACACATACACAAAAGAAATAGAGAAAGACAGTGGGAGAGAAATAGAGAGAGAGGGGGAGAAGAAAAGGGAGAAAGAGAATTTTTTGAGACACGTTTAGTCGTTTATTTGTTACTGAACCAATACCAGTATTCCATGATGAACGATGTAATCGTCAGAAGTCCCTCAATCGATCACCAAGCACTGTCACATATAGCGATCACGAACACAGTTTCCATTTGTATATTCGTCATTGATTAATTGGAATTTATCTACGTTGAGTAAATATCGGTTACGATTATATACATACTGCGTAGTTAGGCTGTTGTATTGATGTGGATGATCCTTATAAGCTGGAAATAGGGTTCTTGCTCAGTGAACACATGTTGGACTAAATCCATTTTTCTTACGGGGATGTGTTACTGTGTTTCATTCTGTATGCGTCTGTATAACATGGCAAGGCATGACATTTGTAAAATAAATAACATATTTCGTATGATTGGCCCAAACTAGCTATACCCGATCCACGAGTGAGTGAGTGAGTGAGTTTAGTTTTACGCCGCACTCGGCAATATTCCAGCTATATGGCGGTGGTCTGTAAAGAATCGAGTCTGGACAAGACAATCCAGTGATCAACAACATGAGCATCTATCTGCGCAATTGGGAACCGATGACCTGTGCCAACCAAGTCAGCGAGCCTGACCACCCGATCCCGTTAGTCGCCTCTTACGACAAGCATGGGTTACTGAAGGTTCCTTCTATCCCGGACCTTCACGGGTCCCGATCTACGAATGTCTCCGTGGAAAAGATATGTCACAAGAAGGCCTGTCAAAGTTAATTAAAAATAAATTTACATTAAGATGTCGCAGAGGTCTGAATGCCAATGCAGTATGTTAAATATCTTCTCAATGGTACTGACAAACAATCCCGAAACTGCTCGTTGCCATTGTTCAGGACCTTGGGCAACGTCATGCCGAGTGAAGTGCCTTTTCTTTTACTTTACGAAAACATATCATTTTATTTGTACTTTCCCATGGGTATAGCCAATATATTGTATGTCGTGGGTACAAGCACACATTGACCGAAGCCATCGATCACAATCTGTCGCTCAGACGAAAAGTGGACACGGTCTGGATCAACCAAGTCCATCCAGACCCTTCTTGGAACCCGAATTGTTGACGTATCAAGCTACAACAGACTAAGTGGATGCTGCATGCTTCCGGCGGAGATACAGTTTGCATGTTCCATCTGCTCCACGCAAACGGACTCGACTTACCTTGGAAAAGACAGTCCATTGCAAATCGTGCATTCGTCAGGGCCGGATTATGCGTCCATCTCAGTCTCAGTCTCTGATGTTGTGCTGCCAGTCGCTGATGTTGTGCTGTCAGTCTCTGATGTTGTGCTGCCAGTCTCTGACGTTGTGCTGCCAGTATCTGATGTTGTGCTGCCAGTGTCTGATGTTGTGCTGCCAGTATCTGATGTTGTGCTGCCAGTCTCTGACGTTGTGCTGCCAGTCTCTGATGTTGTGCTGCCAGTCTCTGATGTTGTGCTGCCAGTCTCTGACGTTGTGCTGCCAGTCTCTGATGTTGTGCTGCAGTCGCTGATGTTGTTGTGCTGCCAGTCTCTGACGTTGTGCTGATGTTGTGCTGCCAGTCTCTGACGTTGTGCTGCCATGTCTCTGATGTTGTGCTGCCAGTGCCAGTCTGTGCCCAGTCTCTGACGTTGTGCTGCCAGTCTCTGATGTTGTGCTGCCAGTTGTGCTGCCAGTCTCTGACGTTGCGCTGCCAGTCTGATGTTGTGCTGCCAGTCTCTGATGTTGTGCTGCCAGTCTCTGATGTTGTGCTGCCAGTCTCTGACGTTGTGCTGCCAGTCTCTGATGTTGTGCTGCCAGTATCTAATGTTGTGCTGCCAGTCTCTGATGTTAGCTGCCAGTATCTGATGTTGTGCTGCCAGTCTCTGATGTTGTGCTGCCAGTATCTAATGTTGTGCTGCCAGTCTCTGACGTTGTGCTGCCAGTATCTCATGTTGTGCTGCCAGTCTCTGACGTTGTGCTGCCAGTATCTAATGTTGTGCTGCCAGTCTCTGACGTTGTGCTGCCAGTATCTAATGTTGTGCTGCCAGTCTCTGATGTTGTGCTGCCAGTCTCTGATGTTGTGCTGCCAGTCTCTGATGTTGTGCTGCCAGTCTCTGATGTTGTGCTGCCAGTATCTGATGTTGTGCTGCCAGTCTCTGATGTTGTGCTGCCAGTCTCTGATGTTGTGCTGCCAGTCTCTGATGCTGTGCTGCCAGTCTCTGATGCTGTGCTGCCAGTCTCTGATGCTGTGCTGCCAGTCTCTGGTGTTGCGCTGCCAGTCTCTGAAGATGTGCTGCCAGTATCTAATGTTGTGCTGCCAGTCTCTAATGCTGTGCTGCCACTCTCTGGCGATGTGCTGCTAGTCTCTGGTTTTGTGCTGCCAGTCTCTGATTATGTGCTGGCAGTCTCTGATGCTGTGCTGGCAGTCTCTGACGTTGTGCTGCCAGTCTCTAATGCTGTGCTGCCACTCTCTGGCGTTGTGCTGCCAGTCTCTGACGACGTGCTGCCAGTCTCTGATCTATTCTCTATGACGACTAGCCACATGACTACCACATTGTCGACTGGACCCGTGAAGATCCGGGTTAGAATTGTCTTCAGCAACCCATGCTTGTCGTAAGAGGCGACTAACGGAATCGGGTAGTGAGGCTCGCTGATTGGTTGACACACGTCATCGGTTCCCAAATGCGTAGAATGATGCTCATGATGTTGATCACTGGATTATCTGGTCCAGACTCGAATATTTACAGACCGCTGTCGTATAGCTGGAATATTGCTGAGTGCGACGTAAAACCATAAACAATCAATCATTGTCGACTGATAATGTCGCAGTGAGGAGGGTCTTGTCTGCGTCTGCGCAGAGAGCAATAAGATCAAAGGTTCGAGTCTATGGACGCGTCATGCCAAATGACGCTAAATGATGCCACCAAGTGTTCCCAACTCAAGTGTTCCCAATTGTGTATATGTTTGTCAAGCGTCTGTTCCACTAACCCATCTAAAATATGTCATTGCCAAAAGAATCTGTTCTTGGGTATGGCCAAGTTGGTACAGAGCATGCGGCTTAAAACAACACTAGTCTCGGCGGGAAGAAGGGTTTCCTTTGAATAATTCTAATTTGTTTAAACTGAAACAACAGTTTTGATATCTCCTTGGCCAGGTGGAGTTGGTCGAAAAACGGCCTTGTTCACCTCGCCGAGAACGGGTACCCGGTAGTATGAAATGGAAATGTGACTGCTAAGCTTCTTACGCCTACAGGCAGCTTTGGTCGTATCCCTTCCACCAGAGACTAAGGCTCCAATTACCATTCCACTCATTTGAAACAGAATATTTTACGATTCAGAAAGTTCAAAGTGTCATAAAAAGATTATATTGTCAGGGAAATTTCCATTTGGTCATGGCAAACAGAACAAAATTAGACATAAACTATTAAATCCTCCCATCGAAACATAAAACGCAAATATCAGCCTTTGAACCATTGTTACGTGATAACGTCCCACGCTAAACCCCATACAGAACTCATTCCGCCCCCTACCGACTATTGCGAAAGAGGATAATGCTATAGCAGTGTTAGAAGTTCACGGGTCACCCACCTGCCTGCTTGGGCTTGATGAAGAGGCTTCTACCTACACCCACGCATATCCTTTCGTAGGAATACGTGAAAAACATATTATGGACATGTTTGGTGTTTTCATGATGATGAGTGAGTGAGTGAGTGACGATCGAACGCTTTAACCACTAGGCTACCCCACCGCCGATCATAATGATGATGATGATGTTGATGATGATGATGATTATGATGATTGAAATGATAACGATGGTGTTGATGTTTTGAATTGATAATGATGGTTTCGATGATGTTAATGCTGATGGTGGTGATTGAAGTGATAATGATGATGATGATGATGTTGATGATGATGATGATGATTGAATTGATTGATAATGATGATGTTGATGATTGAATTGATAATGATGGTTTCGATGATGTTATTGCTGATGGTGGTGATTGAAGTGATAATGATGATGATGATGATGTTGATGATGATGATGATGATTGAATTGATGATGATGATGTTGATGATTGAATTGATAATGATGATGTTGATGATGTTATTGATGATGGTGGATGATTGAAGTGATAATGATGATGATGATGATGATGATGATGATGATGATGATGATGATGATGATAATTGATAATGATGATGATGATGAATTGATAATGATGATGATGATGATGGATGATGTTGATGATTGAATTGATAATGATGAT